ATAGGGGTGTATATATCCTTTCTGATTGGCGTTTCTAGTATCTTGGGATATATTCCTAGAAGTGGGATCACTGGGTCAAATGGGAGTTCCATTTTTCATTTTATGAGGAAACTCCATACTGTTCTCCACAGTGGCTGCACTTGTCTGCATTCCCACCAGCAGTGCATGAGGGTTCCTTTTTCTCATCTTCTTCAGCACTTGCCATTTGTTGATGATAGCCATTCTGACATGTGTGAGATGTTACCTCATTGTTGTTTTGATTTGCATCTTTTAGATGATAGTGACTTTGACTAATGTGTTCATATGACTCTTGGCCTTTCTTATGCACTCTTTTAAAAAAGTATCTACTTGGGTTTGTTGCCCATTTTTTTATTGGGTTGTTTATCTTCCTTTTGTTAAGTTGTATGAGTTCCCCCAGATTTTTTTCAATAGATAAGAGTTACACATATGTTGATATATATGTGATTCAATATGATGCTATTTTGTTGTATTGACAACAAGCTTCAAAACTTCATATGTCTAATTTTATGGAGGTGTTAACATCAAATAAATTTTTCTACTTAGAAATGTAGAATTTCATGCAAAAAAAAGCATTTGCAAGAAGTTTTAATTCATTACTTTATTATTAAGAAAAGTGCTGCTGAATAATTTGAGAAGTTTATGGTGAATATGCTGTATCTCAAGATATTTGTGAATGCTGGTTTAAATGCTTTAAAATTGATGATTTTGATGTGAAAGACAAAGAATGTCCAGGCCAACCAAAAAAGTTTGAAGACCAACAATTACAAGCATTATGGGATTAAAATAGATGTCAAACTGAAAAAAAAAACACAATGTGCAGAATGATTAAACGTTGCTCAGCAAGCAATTTCTAATGATTTACAAGCAATGGGAAAGATTTTAAAGGAAGGAAAATGGATGGACCAAAAGACAAATGGAAAACCGAAAAGTCATCAGTTAAATGTTGCTTCAATGGCATGAAAGATAATGTTTTTGTTTTGTTTTGTTTTGTTTTGTTTTGCATCAAATTGTGGCTGGTGATGAAACGTGGATTTGTTTTGAGAATCCCAAATGCAAAAAATCATGGGTTAATCCAGGTCAACCATTGCAAGGCCAAATCGCTTCAGAAAGAAGACAATGCTCTTCTTTCTAAAACCAGGTGAAACTGTTAATACTGATTGCTACCGACATTAAATAATCAATTTGAACCACACTTTGATTGTGAAATGACCAGAATATGCCAGAGGACACAGCAAAGTAATTTTGATGATGCACTATCACACATTTCAAAACCAGTTAAAGACACGTTAAAAGATCTTGCCTGGGAAGTATTAACCCACCAGCTGTATTCACCAGACCTTGCTACTTCAGATTTCCATTTGTTCCAATCTATGGCACATGCACTTTCTGAGCAGCATTTCAAAACATATGAAGAAGTGGAAAATTGGGTCTCTGAATGGTTTGCCTCAAAACAAGAAAAGTTCCATTGGGACGGTATCCACTTATTACCTGAAAGATGAGGGAAATGTGTAGCTAGCAATGAACATTACTTTGAATAAAGCACTTTTGATGTTTCTCTTAAAATTATTGTGTTTTCTTTTATTACAAAATCTGCCATTATTAACCAGTACACCTATATGTTGGAGATTAAACCCTTATCGGTAATAACATTGGCAAATATGTTCTCCCAGGCAGTGGGCTTTCTTGTTGTTTTGTTGATGGTTTCTTTTGATGTGCAAAAGCTTTTTACTTTGATGTAGTCCCATTTGTTTATTTTCTCTTTAGTTTCCATTACTCTAGGAGCTGTACTGGTGAAGATATTGCTTAGGCATATGTCTGAAATTTCTCTGCCTGTGGATTCCTCTAATATTTTTATGGTTTCCTATCTTATGTTTAAGTCCTTTATCCATTTTGAGTTTATATGTGTGTATGGTATAAGTTGGTGGTCTAGTTTCTTGTTTTTTTCTTTTTTTCTTTCTTTCTTTCTTTCTTACTTTCTTTTCTTTTTTTTTCTTTTCTTTTTTTTGGTATGTATTTGTCCAATTTTCCCAAAATTTGTTGAAGAGATTGTCTTGACTCCATTGTATGTTCTTGCATCCTGTGTCAAATATTGAGCATATTAATTGGGTAGATTTCTGGGTTCTCTGTCCTATTCCTAAGGGGTTAAACATTCTGAAACTTTTACTTTTGGTTCCTTAAGAAGCTATTAGGTTACTAAAAATTAAGTCTTTGTATTTCCTAGTTTTCACTGTTAATCCATTACACTATTAAACATTTTCTTAAGACTATTTAGTGTAAGGTTTCCAAAAGTTACTTGTGTTTCTTGAAATAAGTGGCATTCAAAATTATGTTACTACTTCTTGCATGTTATGTTAAAGTTACTATTTATATTGCAGAACTATTTTAAGTGTACCTGTTTACTTATTTATTTTGGATTATTTATGTCTTTGTTTTCAGGTCTTTTATTTGTCTAAAATTATTATGGGTGGTTTTATTTTCCTGTCTCACAGTTATTTGAAAACCATTAAAATCTTCTTTCTAGAGTTTGAGCTGGAGAGCTCAATAAAGTCGGTAAACATTAAAAGGCCACAATCAGGTACCCAGATTCTACATGTGGCTTCCACTTGGGGCAAACCATTGCCCCTATCAAGCTCTCATTCTTCAGCTTCTGAGGTCTGTGATGGGGGAATGTTCTGTCTCTATGAGCTGAGGGGGGGGGGGGGTGGCGGGTCATCATATTCTGGTATTTGTTTTCTTTTGGGTCCATTAATAATCCTGGTGTTGAGTATCACTAGCACCAAAAGAAACATCCGCAAAGTTACTGACTCCTGTTCCTTATGACCAGGGTCTTTTTCCAGTCTCTGCTCCATGCCAAATAAGGCATGTGGGCAACTGCGTTCTAAGTGGAGTGGAACCTTTTGATACCCCGTTTTTCATTCCTCCAGCCCTCATGCCTCAAATAAAGATAAGTTCGATGTCTTTATTTAAAAAATTGGGCAACCACTTATAAATTCTGGAGCTTTACTTAAGTATTTACTGGTATTTTGGATAAAAATTTACTTTGTTCAGTTTGAGTTGTTATTTATTGAACAGAACTGAATAATTACACATTTTTAAAGCCCTTCGACCACCTGGTTATCTAAGTTGTAACTCATTATTCATGAATGGTAAATCTCTTTTTAGCATATTTACTCCTGATTCTCAGACAGGCCCTGCATAATTACCCTGGATGGGAAACTGCCATTGTAGAAATCGCTGAGCTACACTAGGAGTAACGGTGATTAATAAGCCACCAGGAGCCCATCACTTAGTCACTATGATCTTAGTTTGTTCCTCTACAACAGTAGTCAGCAAACTCATTAGTCAACAGAACCAAATATCAACAGTAATTTATTTTGAGAGCTAAATTTTTAAAAACTTAAATGTCATCTAACACCACTTCTTCAAAATAGACTCACCCAGCCCGTGGTATTTTATGGAAGAGCTACATGTGGCTCATGAGCCCCAGTTTGCCGGCCAGTGCTCTAGAATATGGGAATAACACAAACTACCACAGCCTACCACAGCACAGGCTTTCTGTGAAGAATAAATGAGATGGTGTATAAGCAAATGAAGCACCAGAAATAGCAAAGTACTCTACAGGAGAAAGTTTGCATCATTCTTCCTCCCTGAAATGGGAGTTTCCTTCTCACTGATGTCACTCCTCTGAATAAGAGAGAATATTCTAGCTAAAAAAGAAATAATTAAGCAGTCTGTTCCAACTAGCCCATTCATTCATTCATTCATTCATTCAACACAACAGTCAACCGGCCAATTCCTTCCTTAATGAAGTTTATGTTGTGGTAGCAGACAGGCAATATACAAATCAAGATCAGTGTGGACATCATTCAGAAAACTGGAAGAAAGAGCTAAATCCAAGTGAGAAGTTATTTTCCAATGGGTATAAAAGTTTCAGTTTGGTAAGTGAATAAGTTCTAAATATCCTCTGTATAACTTAGTGCCTATTGTCAACAATACTGTATTGCGCACCCAAGAATTTATTAAAAGGGTAGATCTTGCCGAAACCAGTTTGGCTCAGCGGTGGAGCGTCGGTCTGCGGACTGAAGGGTCCCGGGTTCGGTTCCAGTCAAGGGCATGTACTTTGGTTGTGGGCACATGCCCGGTAGGGGGTGTGCAGGAGGTAGCTGGTCGATGTTTCTCTCTCATCGATGTTTCTAGCTCTCTGTCTCTCTCCCTTCCTCTCTGTGAAAAATCAATAATATATATATATATTTTAAAAAGGGTAGATCTCATGATAAGTGTTCTTACCACAAAAAGGGGGGGGGGCGCAAAGAAACTTTCTCAGGTGATAAATATATTTATTACTTGACTGGTGATAGCTTCATGGGTGCATGCATATGTCTGAATTCATTACATTGCATATATTAAATAAGTAAAGTTTTTTTTATATCAATTATACTTCAATAAAGCTGTTTAAAAAAGAAAAAGAACGCCCTAACTGGTTTGGCTCAGTGGATAGAACGTCGACCTGTGGACTGAAGGGTCCCAGGTCCGATTCCCAACAGGGGTATGTACCTTGGTTGCAGGCACATCCCTGGTGGGGGATGTGCAGGAGGCAGCTAATTGATGTTTCTCTCTCACCGATGTTTCTGACTCTCAATCCCTCTCCCTTCCTCTCTGTAAAACATCAAAAAAATATATTTAAAAAAAGAAAAAGGTGGGAGAAAGAACCCAAAAGGGGCCAAGCAAAAGAGATAATAGTTGCTATTTTAGATAATAATGGTCAGGAAAGATCAAATTTTTATTCTGAATAACTAAAATCTACTTGACAAGAGCACAGTGTTTGAAATTTCCATGAAGACCTTCATATACCTTTCCCCTCTTGCATTATATACCAGCTTTTTTAGTCACACAGTCTAGATAAGATCTACATTTGAGAAGTAGCCACAGGGAATCTGAGACCCAACTAGACAAAATTTCAAAATGGTGAACATACATACCCATTTCATGTCTGGTACTGGCCACACCTACTCCATACTCCTCTAAAACCTCCTTCACTGTCCTCATAGATTCATCGTACCTGACTGCCAAGCCAAGGAAGTTATAGGAGCCCATGTTGATGACATCTTTGATGATTCTTCCAGTGAAGCTGCAGGGAGAAAGGCAGGTGAGCACAAAGGGCATTGTCATTTAATATCATCATAGTGCCCCATACAAGTCTCACAAAGAAATCTCTCTTTCTGATCCAAATCATACATATATTTTTAGACTTGCATGGTTGCCACCACAAAATGGGTTGTCCTTAGAGGAAAGTATCCCCATATTGCAGCTGGATAGAGTATTACAAAAAGGTGTCCAAGCCATGCAATATTACATAGTCTTGATTTTTCTCGGGCACTCGCTTTCATGACACCTGTGCCCTGGTTTAAATTGCAGCAAAAACTTTCTCAATGAGAAAAAAGCCACGGTCATCACTTCAGCAAGAAGTAGAGGATATAATTTGTCAATACAGCTGAGAAGGGCTTTTCCTTGTTGGCTGGCTCTGTGTATCCTGCACCTTCTGACACAGATCTTACTTAACTGCAATATAAACATGCTACCCATGGAAGCAGAATCACTGTGACTTCCCCTACTGGCATGTGAGGGCTTGCAAAAGGCTGAATGATGGAAGACCAATTGTTTTCTTGCTGTGGTTTTTCATATCTGTAATCTGGTGCCCACGAAAGGATTTCCTTTCAACCAAGCCCCTCCAGGTGATGGCCTCACCGAAATGTCCAGTTGTAGTCATCCGACACCCTCTCCATTACGTCAAACAGAGGCCCTGGGGCACTGCAAATGGGCCGGTTCCAGTTGTCTCTGATTCTCATGTAAATGTTTCGTGTGTAGAAATTCTCAAAGTTTTGATACAGTGGCACAAAATCCTGTATAAGAGATGCAGAAGTTTATCTTTGGCCCTCTTCTTTTTCAATCTCATTTGCAATTGAAGACTAAGAGAAGATCTAGAAGATCCATTCAAATATTTCATTCGCAAATATTTTCTGAGAAAGGGTTTGTGGGTAAGGGGACAAGCAGGGCCCATAAATAATTGTAAGAATTTTATACCAAAAGAATTTATACTTTAGTGGGGAAGGTGAAAAAAAAAAAGCAAATAAAGGCAGCAAAGCTTACAGAATGATATAAAACAAGTCCCAAAATGTGTGGTGACAATAAATAATTAGGAGTGGGTTTCCTCATCTTCCTACCCATCCTCTTTAAATTATTTGTTCTCCTTTCCTGAGGGAATAGCAGAACCCTGGGGAAAGGCTTTGTGGACGCTCTTCTTGTGCTATTGGTTAGACTCAGTCTCCTAAGTTGGTCCATTCCAGGGGAAAACAAATAGAACCCAAAGGTTTTAATGGCTGCTGACTGCACCCAAGCCATGATCTTTTCTGTCACTTTACCCTCTGGTCTCCAATGACAATGCCATCACTTTTGGGGTGAAATTTTGATTATCTATAAGATAAAATGCTCATAACCACATACTGGGGCAATCTATTGCATGTGAATTTGAAGGATGCTTGGGTTCCTATACTGGTCACATTTGTAAGTTGAAAAATATCATTCCAAGTGCATTTTCTCTCAAATAGTTAACAATCCTGATGTAGGTTTTACTATGATTTAAGGCTACAAGGTTATGATAATCAATTATACCTTTTTATGCTCTAACAGGGAAATGGACATGTTTTGAAAGAAAAGGGGATTGTGCAATTCCAGGAAATTTTTTCTAAACTATTTCCTCCTTGATTTAATAACATTTTACAGAGTGTTTACTATCCTGCAGATTACACTCTATCCCCAAAAGTTATTTGTCTTTCTATTTCCATTTTTTAAAATTTCTTATTTGAAATACATCCTATAAACTCATTCCATCTAGAGAAAAGAGACAAGTAGGTCCTTAAGTAATATTTCTGGACTCAGAATAAAATTATGGTTTTAGATTTTATGATAAATCTTATTCAAGATAAAATTACCCATTGGTTTAGGAGAGAACTGAATAGTTGATTTAGAAAAAGTTACTGGTTTTAGGTAGAAAATAACCAAAATATTATGTCTTCAAAATTAAGATAAAATTAATTTCAGACATGGAACCAAAAGATGCATAGATTTTAGGGCAGAGGAGACATGGAAGTCATAGAGTTCAAATACCCATTTGACAAGTGAGGAAAATCAGATCCAGCAAAGGGATCTGAACTGAAGTCAACCTCTCACTTCACCCACTCTCCCAGCAGTCACTTCAGGGTGACCTCACGCTGGCACTTGCCCCAGCCTGTCCAAGATTCCCTCTAAAACACCAGCAAGGATGGAAAACATGACCACCAATATGGAAAAGTAAGGCCAACAGACTGCCAAACCATGGAGTACTATCCATTCACCATAAGGAACTTGGCATTGACTCAAGAAAACAACTTGGGGCTTCTCATTATTGATGCCTTATAAAGATATCCATTCCTGAGGTAAGGTGGGAAAATACTCCATCCTGCCAAAACTTTCTGGTTTCTGACTCAGAGGTAAAAAATTTCCACTGGTAAGAAAACCAGCAGCTAGCTCTTAATTGGGATAAATACCCTGAAAGCAAAATACAGGGATTGTGGAGAAATGTTCTGATAGAAAATGACCATTACATTAAAAATGAACTTTTATTAATTAGGTATCTGAAATTTCTTGGTCAAAAGGATGGCCCCCAGCTTTACCCCTCCCCCGCCCCAGAGAGTCATTTCTTTGTGGATTATATGAGCACTAAACTAAATCTGAAAATCAAGTTCAGCAATCTACATGTTCCTGAGAAGGTCAATTGAGCTTGGGAATCTATTTATAATTCAAGATATGGTCCATGAAAGAACTACCTTGCTTGTTCGTTGCCTCTTCCTCACCTGTGAGTCCTACCACTGCATGGGTGTGCTGTCACCCCACCCCATTCCTTTGAGCATCAGTGAGGTTTCTTCAGGAGCAGTTAATATCTTGCAAAGGTCAATGTCCTCTAGTCTTAGGTAAGCCTCCCACAGCATTTTAACTAGACCAGAAAATGAAACTTGACTGGATATTGCAAAAACAAGTGTTGCGATAGGAGAGCATTGCAATAGTATGGGAATATTTTTATCTACCTGTTAATTTAATTTGTCACTTGACCTACTCACTGTTCTTTTTTTTTTCTCTGACACAAATAATGGAAGAGTAAACTCCAGGTTCTAAGGACACAGTCATTTTAGGGGTAGGCTACAGGAGGATTCAGCAAAACCTAAAAATGCAGTTACAAATATGGATTGTTGTGTGTTTTTTCTGCAATATAACAATCTTTCTTTTTCTATCTTTTCTAAGTGTTATAGATATTTCTATCTAAGTTTTATAGACAAATTAATAGAAAGGCAGAAAATTTGAGTCAAAAAATTGGGAATTGAACTTTGTTCTAAAACCAACACTCTTTTTGATAAACCATGCTGCAGGACTAGGGTGTTTATAAGGAATCAAAGAGAATATCTACAGAGGTCCATTAAAAACAAACAAACAAACAAAAAACACCAAATTTGAAAGCATATCCATTTTTATTTTATTTAACTGCAACTGTATTTCCATTCAGTATCAAATAGAATCATGAATTTGTCAAGACAGAAAAATCAGGCACCACTAGTCATTTGTTCCTACACTGACACTTCTATTCTCTCCTAAAATTCACTTTTATGTCACTACTAGAGGCCCAGTGCATGAAATTCATGCAGGGAGGTGTGTGTCCTGAGCCCAGCCAGCATCCTCTCCAATCTGGGACCCCTCGAGGGATGTCCGACTGCCAGTTTAGTCCCAATCCTGGTAGTTGGATCAGGACTAAATGGGACTAAACGGGCAGTTGGACATCCCTCTCACAATCCAGGACTACTGACTCCCAATCACTCACCTGCCTGCCTGCCTGATTGCCCCTAACCACTTCTGTCTGCCAGCATGATCACCCTCTAACCACTCCCCTGACAGCCTGATTGATGCCTAACTGCTCCCCTGCCAGCCTGTTTGCCCCTAACTGTCCAGGGCTAGGGGTGTCGAACACAATCAGAGAAGGGGCCAAAATCTAAAATCCAGCCTAAATCGCGGGCCGAATGGTTTACTGAACAGTCATAAACTGTCATTGTGATGGAAACGCAGCGGAGTGCAGTGATGACAGTGCGGTGCGGGCCACATTGCAAGGCCTGGCGGGACGGATTTGGCCCGCGGGCCTTGTGTTTGACACATGTGGTCCAGGCTATAGGCCTGGTCACTCCTATCTGCCCTCCCCTGCAGGCCTGGTCCCCACCCAACTTCTCTCCCTTGCAGGCCTGGGTCTCCCTCAACTGCCCTTCCCTGCAGGCTTGGTCACCCCCAACTTTACTCCTCTGCTGGCCTGGTCACCCCTAACTGCCCTCCCTTGAAGGCCTGGTCTCTCCCAACTGCCCTCCCTTACTGGCCTGATTGCTCACAACTGCCCCTGCCAGCCTATTTTGTGTCCATATGGGGGTGGCCATCTTTGACCACAAGGGGGTGGCCATCTTATGTGTTGGAGTGATGGTCAATTTGCATATTACCTCTTTATTATATAGACTAGAGGCCCATTGCATAAAAATTCATGCACTGGAGGGGGCATCCCTCAGTCCGGCCTGCCCCCTCTTATTCAGTCTAGGAGTCCTCAGGCTCAGGAGGCGACCAGGTGATCAGGGGAAGTTGATGCCCCCATCACATCTCTACTGCTGCCACTGTTGGCAGTGCAAGCCTCAATAGTCCCTGGTTACCTGTGCTTCAGGCTGGCCCTGGGTGGCTGGGGGGCTGAGGGGACTAGAGGACTCTGGAGGCAGGCACATGGCAAAGCTGTGCCCGCTTGTGGGAAGGCCCAGCCTTGCTGCATGCCTATTGCCCAATGAGGCTGAGGGGACTTGGCACTGCCATCTTGTGGCTGTGGGCACCGTCATCTTTGAGGGCATGGCAGTCAATTAGCATATTCCCTCCTTATTGGCTGTGGGCACCTCCATCTTTGTGACAGCTGAGGGTCAATTGGCAAATTCACTCTTTATTATATAGGATATCCTTTTGGAAAATAGCTTGTTCTTTTACCAGGGTTGAGCTCATAATAATAATAAAATATTTGTGTTTTCTTTTTCGTTGACAAGAATAACTGTATTATGAACAGTCTTTAGAAATATGAGAAACACAAAGGAAAAATTACTAAATTTAATTTTTCTTATTCAGAAATTAGAGGGAGGTTGAATAAATATAGTGGACTTAGTACTTGTATGTATTCTACCACTCATCCAAAAGTCTTATGAAATGACAAAAAATGGTAATCTCTGAACAAAATGAATCTATAAATGCCAGAATACAGTCAAGAGTATCATATGTCAGGAATATTAAAGGATCACAAAAGACAGAAAATGAATTAAGACCTGATCAATTGAGAAGAAAGACCACAGAAATCTATAGCTCTAAAACATTTGCAGAAAAGACTTGTGTGGACATAAGTGACATGTAGCAGAGTGTCAAGCTGAGAGTCAATACCTGTAAGAAGATGATACTCAGGGTGAACAACTGGAAAGCTAGATCTCTTTGTCCTCCTTTTGTTGGGTTAGTAAGTAAGAAGCAGAGATATTATCCATAGGACAAAGCACTGTGGTGGGAAACAAGGGCTGAACAGAAGAGCAATGTCCCAATGTGGGGAGCCCACACAGCAATACAAGCTACTGTTCCTGGCAATTCATTCTATTTCCCTCTACAGTCACTCATGATAGGGGACAATGTAGGAAAGTAAGGATTCTAGATACAAAAAGGAGCATAAAGCAAAATGCCACTACTATTTAAGAAAAACTAGCACAATAAGAGGCACAAAATTTAATAATTAACATCTAGAGAAAAGGCAATAGAGCAAACAGAA